AGCTTGGGACTTGTTTTTCACCATTTGGTTTTGTTTGGTTTTTTTTTAAGTGCCGTATGTCCCCCCACAATCAGTGTAATAACATCGGTATGAGGTTTTAAGTCTGGATGGAAGTTCTGTCTGCATGTGCTGTTCCTTGGGCTCCAGTGCAACAGTTACCTTCAGGATTGCTCCAGTGATAATATTTTCCCTGGCCATTTCTGCTGGCATTTCTGGCTTTAGTAGGAATAAAGTACTAGAGCTGTAAGCAGAGTTAACAATTCTGTACTACAATATTTCAGTAAAATTGTGGGTTATTAAATAAAGCAAGGCAATTTCTGATCTTTCTTAATGTACATTTCCAGTAATTCAGGATCTGATGTCAACCAAAAAAAAGTTGCAGATCGTGCAAAGAAGTGAAGTAATCAGATTAGCTTTCAGGAAATGTATAGTGTTTATTTCAAAGTACTTTAGTGTACATAGCTAGTAGAAGGATTCACTGTTTACAGGGTAGTAGTTTGAGTCAGATCGACGCAATGTCTTTTTCTAGTACAGTCTTTATTTCTTGGCTGTGATGGACTGGAGGAATTTCTCCCTTCTCACTGTCTGTGCAGCTCTCCTTCAGTTCTCTGCCCCATCTCCTTCTCCTTGAGAGATGTAGCCCACCTTCTCTGAACGCACCATTTTTTAGTTCATCTGAGTCCCCAGAGGCTTGGATTTGTTATAGATGTGATCTCTCAGTAAGAGCACACAGGACAAGCAAGCTGATGAATTACTATGTTGCTAGGGGGAAACCCAAGGGTTGGTTTTGTTGTGCTCTGGAGGTGAGTCTTTTGGTTTTCTTTGCATGAGCTTTTTACACTGTTCATTTGCCAGATCACATCTATTTCACCACTGCCAAAGGTCTGTTGTTGGTTTTCTGGGCGTTTCCAGTTATGCAGGTCACATTCTAGACCTCAGCTGGACTGATTCTTATGCGCTGGAGCTGTGCGGGAGCCTGATATTATCAGTTAGACTGTTAGTTGTTAGTGACTGCCATACTGAAGCTACGTTAGATCAAGGAGATAAGGAAAGGATGGCAGATTCATACAGCTCATGCATACTTACTCTGGCACCTGAAATGTGGGTAATCCACATTATGAATCTAATTACAAGCAATGTGGACAACAGAAACATCTGTGCATTATTTATGCATATTTCTAGAGCCTTAAAGGGTGAGTCCTTAAACAAAGATGGAAATTTTAGGCTATGAATATCCCCTTTGTCTTGAACTGTGAGCTCATTCATTGCAAGTGGTCCTATTTCCTCATAGAGATGCATGTAAAAGAGAGTATGTTTGTAGCAACAGCAGTACGTATGAGTTGACTTTCCCCTTTTCGGGTCTCTTTGAGAATTGTGACATTAATGCTGCTGCTGTCCCTGAATTGCTCACTTTTATGCAAACTCCATGCAGTGCTGTGGGTTTATAATACCACTTAGAGGCATTTAATGGAGGCTTCTGGTTTGCAGGGAAAAAAAAACCAAAACAATAGCATTTGCCAAAAAAAACCCCAACCAACCCAGAGGGGAAGGAATTTTGTGTTCCTTAGCCTGGATTATGACATAAACCTCTAGGGACATTCTGATAACTCTAACCAGGGGTTGAATGGAAAGCAGTCAAGAGCAATGAAAAGGAAACCTCTTGCTTTTTGCTGCTGTGGATGAGTTTCTGACCAGACACAGCAGTGCACACAGAGAATCACTGAACAGACTTGTGGAGGCCATGAGCTGACCCATTCAATTAAATTGCACCTGCATTGCACCTAGATGGTCTCACAAAGCTGCGTCAGGTGTCAGTGTGCATTAGCAATGGGTACCCATGTGTTTTCACATGGTGAACAATGATTTGTGAATAAAGGGAAAGCTACAGGCAAGTAAGATGCAGCAGTGTTCCTGTATTGTCCAAATGAATTGATGTGGATTGATATGAGCTATACCAGCCTTGACTTCAAAATAATGGTTTATTGTATATGTCCTCAGGTTCTTCCTGAGGACACTGGTCCAACTGAGTCTGCTTGTAAGATCAGAACCTCACCATCATTTTGCACAGGCAATTGCATGATGAAAGTTTATACTTCCAGAGTAGTTTAGAATTGTATGAGTCACCAAGTCAGAACATTAAGATGGTCACTAAACCAAAAAGTACAAACTCACTGAAAAAGGTTTTTCCTTAATGTTTGTCCTCTAAATACTATTGGCTGTTAGTGAAAACCATGAATTTTCTCAGTTCTTTCTTCTGAACATTTGATTGTTTTGTTTCTTCTGAGAAGGGAAATTTCCTAGGTTTACCAGAAGTGGACCTTGCTCAGTTCTCTTTTCAAGCCACACCTTTTACAGCACTATACCACAGCATGCTTTGCCAGCAGCTTGCACAAGATTTGTTGTTTGTCCTAAATGAAGATGGGACAAATGTATTTGAGAGCTAGATCCCCCCTCCTCCCCCCAGCCCCCATCCTACTATCTTTCTACAATAGCATTTGGGTGTATTTTTCTCCTTCAAAGTGTTGTCCTTGGGTTTAGCACGAATTGGTTTACAGAATTCACTGATAGGAGAACATCTGGGATATCGAGGTGTGTCAGTATAATCAAAGTGAAAGAAGTATCAGCATGATTCTCCTGACGTTTCAGTCCAAAGGAGCACAGTCAGTCACTCTGGACTTACAAAGACTGTAGAATCAGTGACTGTGTTGGGAGGGACCTTAAAGCTTACCCAGTTGGCACTGGCAGGGAGAAGATCCCCACATGGCTGCTTAATGAGATCCTCCCAGGCACGTCTCCCAAGGAACAAGGTACAGGGTGAGAGGAAACGGCCTGACGCTGTGTCAGCGGAGGTGTAGACTGGATACTATGCACGGCTCCTTCCCCAGGCTGCCCAGGGCAGCGGTGCACCCGCTGTCCCTGCAGCCGCCACGCAGCGCCCGGGCCTTGCTCAGCGCCCTGACGCCACCTGACGCGCTCAGTGACCGACAGGGGGCGGTGCCGGGCCCCCGGGGCACGCGAGCGGGCGGAGCTGGAGCAGCGCGTGACGCCTGAGGCAGCGCGAGGCTGAGGTGATGGAGGCGATGGGAGCTCTCGGCGCAGAGCTGGGGGAACAGAGGCCGCGCTGATGGACAGAACCCACCTGGCGACACAGACAGGGCCGTTAATGCCATGTATCCGTCCAGCCGTCTGTCCGCAGTGAGTGCCAGAGCCTGTTGGATGGTGGCTAAGATGTCAGCAGATTGGTGATCTGCTCTGCATGGTGGCAGAGCTGTGGGGAGAGGTGCAGTGGCTAAGGAGCATAAGGGAATCTGAGGAGGAGATTGAGTGATGGAGCCACCCTTTACCATCCCTGAGAGAAGCAATCCAGCCACTCAAAACAAATGAAATTCCAGATCCCCTGTCTTCTTGCCACCAGGCAGACAGAGGGACCTGGGCATGGGGGAGGTTGGAAACTCCTCAGAGTGGGCAACATACTACCTCCCCAGCTTATATTATCTTCATAAGTACCTCTCTACAACAGCTTTGAAGCCCTGATACTGAAGATAAGGAAACCGAGGAAGATGATGAAGTACATAAGGGATCATCCAGGTTAGAAGAGCCGTCTTGAAAAAGCCAGAAAATGCCTCGTGTCACGACCAGCTCTACTGGGGACAAAAGAAGAGCGGTTATAATTGATGGCTGCTCCCTGGAATAACAGAGGGCACCATGTGTTAAAACCAACTCGGCTCACAGGGTGCCTCCCTGATACCAGGGTAAGGTACATCACCAGAAAACTCAACTCGTCTGGTACAGCCCGGTGCTTGCTATCCTTTGTTAGTCTTCCAGGTGGGCAGTGAAGCAGTTATATCAACAAGAAGCCTGAAAGGACTCATGAAGGACTTCAGGTCTTGGTGTGACTGGTTCAGTGTTTGGGAGCCCAAGCAGTGTTCTCGTCCCTCCTGTCAGTCACAAAGAAGCATCAGAAAAATCTTGCAAATTAATTTCTGGCCCCAGGACTGGTGTCAGCGCCAGAATCTTGGGGTTTTGGCTATGGCTCAGTTTGCATGGTAAAAGGCATGCACGCAGCAGATGGTGTACACCTGTCCCTAGGAAGGAAAAGGATCCTAGCCCAGGAGCTAGCAGGGCTCGTAAAGAGGGCTTTAAACTAGTTTCAGAGAGAGAAAGGGTTAAAACCAGACTCTGTAGTAGGGAAGATCAGTTTTCTCTTTTGATCTGCTTATATCTACACCACTTCAAAACGGGAATCTGTAAACAGCTGTGATCACTTTGTGACAAATGAGTGCCAGAGTAATGAGGGCCGTTACATACAAACTCTCAAAAGCATGGCTCACCAAAGAAGTTGCTCTGTATCTCTGGGATTTGCAGCCTTGTGGATGTGTTGACATTAAACACAGTGTGGTGTATTCCAGAAAAGACTGGCAGAAACCGTGCTGTCAACAGTCAGTGAGAGAAGGTTGCTAATAAGAGACAGGTCATTGCCTTGTAAGAACAGCTGCTGTTCCTCAGATGAAGCAAGGGGTGGTTGAAGAGAATTCCTGTACCTGGATGCTGGCTAGTAAGTTCGGAATGCAGATAATGCATGGTGAGGAGCTGGTGGATTTTACTTCAATCTCATGATGTTTAGTTTTTGTCTTAAATTCCCTGGGTTTCTATAGTGCTAAAAGAATGTGTTTTTTTTTTTGGAAGCTATTAGCTTTGGCTACTGCATGGGAGAGTTTCAGAATGTCAGTTATAAAGGTTCCATTATTAAAATATGACTGAAAAGAATCTACGTGGTTTAAGAGATTGTTGGTACACAGCTTTAATAGTTTGAAGTGATGAATAGTGCTGCAAGAAAGTGATTGGGCTTTATCCTGGTTTGGCGTACTTAAAAATAGAATTATTTGTTATAAATGTCTATTCCTGTTTAAGAATATTTTTTTAAGTCCCCTTGAATATGATTTTGATTCTGATGGGTACGATTCCAGTCACTGATGTTTTGGGTTTTTTCTCCTTTTCAGTTACACCAGCAGAGTTGTTTCCAACGGACTGAAGGCACAAATTAATAATCCAGAACTAAAAGTCAGAGGACTGGACCCACTCATCAGTAATTTGATTGACAAACTTCAGCATTTCAATCAAGTAAGTAATTTTTAGAGAGAAAAGCATTTTCTCACTGGGTTTGATAGCAGAGCTGAAGCTAAACTTGCTAGGGGATACTGCTGCTCATGTTACATTTCCCAGGGTCACAGGCCTGGTACTAAAGGCAACTGAAGGTTGTTGTGCCAGCTGGCTTATGAACTTGAATGAGACAAAATTATTTCTCTGGAAGTTACTCTGGTTCCTGATTGTTGTTCCATAGCTGTTGATCCATAGGTGTTGATTAACCGTCGTACAGGCCAGGGTCCCAGTAACATGGAGGAACTCTCAAGCCCCACAGTTCACATAAAGCTTGTGACTGGAGGCTTGTTGTGTGAGAGCCTTGAGGATTTCTGTGATATTCTTGTCTTGGAGGAGTATCTGCTTGTTTGTGCAGCTTCCTGTTTTGAAGTGGTGTAGATATAAGCAGATCAAAAGAGAAAATGAGTCTATAAGGGTATGATAACTGAACTGTAGGGAATGCTGAAGTCAGGACAGAAGGTCTCCAGGATGAAATAAACTTGAGCCTTTGAAAACATTTACTTGACAGGCCTTCTTCTCAAGCCCATCAGCCCCAAAGGAGAGAGAACCTACCAAAGAGTTTGTCAGAGGAATGATTAACCTGTGTCTGCCTCTGTCATCTATTTGGGCTCCCTCAGATGCACTTCCAGTCCTGGTGCTTCTATCTGTTTCTTTCAAAGCTGAATGCATGATTCTCTGAAATGACTGTTTCAGCACACCTCTTTGTGAGCTCCAAGTAGTGCCAGTCCAAGTGATCTGGAGCAAACAGATTCAACAGGGATTGATTCTCATTTAAAGTAGGCATGTTTGCTTGTCAGCTTGGAAGAATGCTTACAACGCTGTTTGGAATCAGATGTGTTTGCACATTAGTCTGCTCACAATCTTTCACCGTTAAAGAGTGATGGAGCATGGGGATGGAAATAGTAGAAAACTACTGTAAGATTCAAGTCCACCTTTGTGTGCAGGAAGAAAAATAATCTGCACAGGTAAAACAGGAGGAGGACTTGCTTAGTCAGGATGTGGGAGGTTACTAACGCTGTGGCTGTGGCTGGAATTGATGGTTTCATCTCTTCCCCCCTGCAAAAGTACAACTCTCATCTACCTCTCATCAGCCACCAGTAGTAAATCCATAAGCTAACCAGTAATTAGTGTTTTGATTAAATCTTTCTTAGCTTTAAAGTGCTTCTACGTTGTGTAGGCTGCAGTTTAGGATTCTTTGTATCACACTGTTTGATTTAACTTGCCATGGGGAATTACAACAACCAGTCTGATACGGTACTTAATATTACAGTGAAATAGACATTATGCAGTGAGATTGATAAAAAGGATAATTCATTATTTATCTGCCTTTGCATGTTATAAATTAGAGTGTTAATTTACTTTATAAATATTAGATACATCCATCTGTGTAATAGTCTTCTATAAACACTGACGACAGGAAATAGTTAGAAATGGATTAAATTAAAAGTAGCTGTGTATTGGAAATTCTGTTTCTTTGTCTGCTGTAGAAAAACTAAAGTCTGAAGTCTCAGAGTGAGCTGCATACCAATTTTCTTCAGTTATATACATTTAAAAAACAGCTTCAAATGCCACCTTTTAGCCAGAAGAATTAAATCCAATTCCTAGCTCTTTCTGTAAGTTGGAACTGTTGCTTTCTGTTACTTCTAATTATGTTTTAGGAGAATATCATCTTTAAGTAAACGGAACTCCCATCAGATTGAGGTGCTTAGCAATAAGGGACTCCAAGGGTGAAGGATTAAACAGAATACTGATTATTGCCCTAAGATGGTTTGTTCTTAAGTACTTGGGATAATACAAATTCCTTTGATCATAATTTTAGTAAGATTTCTTGAGAGATCAAAGCAGCAAAGAAGTTTCTAAATGTCTAAGGCTTTCACATACAGCATCAAACATGTGTAGCTGCTTCCTGCTTCTTGAGTTTTCATTTTGCTTGTGATATTAATATACAAATAAAAACTGACACTGAAAAGCTGATTAAACCAGGAGTTTAAAGTGTCATCAATAGCGTGTGTAGACTGTTCAGAGGAAGAGTTACACAGAATCCCATTACTCATTTCATGGGCAAATTAATTTTTTTTTTCATTAAATTCCTCTCCCCCCCCCCCCCCCCCGAGGCAATACATAAGGTGGAATTTAAGCAGTGATAAAATAAGGTGTTATCTTTTTATCTTGTAGTGTTTGACATTTTCTGTGCCATTGTAAGCAGTAGTTGCATACTGCATATACAGAAGCAATCCGAGAGAGGTAGGAAGACTGGAGAGCAGAGAACAAAGTAATGCACAGAATGTGAATCATAGGTGATTTGATGTGTCTAGGCCCCAGTAATCTGCCACTTCAAGAATATTGCTAAACTACCCAGAAGAAAGCATATTCTTGCATAAAAGGAAGGTGTGTAACTGGGGTAGCAATGCAGCACTTGGCTGTGAGCAGGAGTGGCTTGTCACTGGCCATGCAGGAGGAGCAAACCATTCGTTTAAATCAAAACTGACAGTCTTTGGTGTACAGCAGCCATGTCTTTGTTAGCTCCTTATTATAACTTATCCACAAATGTAAAGAGATTAGGCACTAAATTGTTTCTAACTCCCATGAACAGGAACAGAATTTATGTCAATGGATTATTGTTCTAGTAGGTGCATCTCAACTCCAGCATGTTACAAATAATCTGCATGCAAGGCATCTTGCATTTCTGCCTGTCCCTTAGGCTGAGATGCCAGCTCGTTGGAGATTATAACAGTTCCTCTTTTTTTTCATCTGGGACTTAATCCTTACACATAGTTGTTGGGTTCTTTTAAAAGATTATGCAAACAGCAGGTAATTTCATAACCACTTCACAAAGCCAAAAGTAAAGTGAAATTTAGAGAATATTATTCAACAATTACTGTTATTTGCATCCCTGGCGGATAAGGTGTTTGAAGGGTTTATTGTAGCTGCTGATTCACATACAAATAGAATTACTGAGTTACAATTTACTTTTAGGAATGCAGAAGCAGCTCAAGCAAAGTCCAAGGTTGATTTTGAAAAACTAACAGTTAGGAATAACATAATTTCTTCCCTGGTTTTTGTCAATAGAGCAGATGTGATCTGCAGCTGATAAACATAAACCCCTCCATTGCTACTACTTCTTGCCACATAATCACACTTAAATATGTTGTAATGCTTTTCTTCAGCATGATGTTTTCCCAGTTCAAACACAAGCAATTCTGAGGCAAGGTTAAAAATCCTGAAGGATCAATTGCATTGAAAAGCAAAGAAAATGTCAGGGAAGAGTGAAAAAGCTTTGGCTCTAGCTTTACTAGCAGGGTCCCATGAGCAATCTCAAAGGATTATAATATAGGAAGTATTATACAGGTTTAACATATTTGTCTTTTGTCAGCCTAACTCTAATCTTGGCAGATACTGTGAATCAGTGTGCTTTGCTGTTGTCAGTCAGAGATGAATGCTTAGGGCATGACTGTGCTTCAAGATATAGTGCAATATCCCAGCACTTAAAATGAGAGTAATGTCAAAACAAGTCCTGCTTAATCTGGACCCATATATTTTTTTATTCCTCCCCCTGCTCACCCAAAGTCTCATGGAAGAGCCAGCTGAACTAAGAAATAACTTTAATTCCTTTTAGATCTATGTACAAAGGATGCCCTCATAGCCAAGTTCAAGGCAGCACACTGAGATGTTTCTTATCAATAAAATGAGCTAGCCATAATATAATCTCAAATGTGAATTTAATTGGGTTAGACAATAGAGGTTAATTCATTGAATAATTTAGCTACTACTTAGTTTAAAAGTGTATATATATTTTTAGGCTTCTATAAAATTTATTACATTATAGGGGTTTTATATGAGGTTTAAGTGGAGACAGGTTGGTTTGATTTTCATCCAAAGTGTAGATTAGTTGGACTGAGTCTCAAAATATTCAATTCTTGTTTTATCCAATGAAAACACGGAAAGGTTAAAAGTCATCTTAGAAAGGCTGTTGCTGTATTACTTCTAGTACTTGGGATTTAAACAGCTCCAACAGGTCTAGAAGTATTACTGCTTGCCCCTGCCATACCTCGCAAAACATGCAGACTTGTGTCTCCTACTGAACAGAGCACCTTTCCCAGAACTGCCATATGTCTGAATTTCCAAAACAGGTCCTCTTTTATTCCATCCAAAGTGTTTGGAAACCTTGGACATTTCTTCAGGATTTCAGGTGCTCCATATTCGTTTTAGAAGTGGCCGGGTTGGATAGTGTTTGGAGCAACCTGCTCTGGTGGAAGGTGTCCCTGCCTATGGCAGGGGGTTTGGAACTAGATGAGCTTTAAGGTCCCTTCCAACCCAAACCAGTCTGCTAACTGTTCTGTTTGTGGTATAACACTTATTACTTGTTCTTGACCAGAAATGCCCCTCTGTTAGTTTTGGGGGAGGGTAGCAGTCTGGCTGCTATGGTAGCCTATTGGTTTTGATGTTAATGGATTTTTTTAAAAGATAGAAAGTGAGCAGTTATCATTGAATTAACTAAGGTTGTCACACTGAAATTGTAAGTTCTCTTATGTAAATACTTACTTTGTTCTATTAGCCCATCATCTTTTTCTAATTATTTTAATAATTGGAAGTCATATACATTGTTTTAAGTTATTATAAGTGTGATTATGTATTTACTTTTAATGTCATTCCTGAGGTACAATAACTTGCATATTTTTGGAGATGGTAATTTTAGCATACTAGGAAAGAGAAGCAGAGATTTATGGACTGATTACTGTTTTCTTCAGGGTAAGGGAAAGGTCTTCAAACAATTGATTGATCATTGGCCAAAAGGAAGAAAACAGGGTAATTTTCCTGTCTTCCTGTTGCACTACTAGGAGGAGACATGTAGAAAAAGCAGCATGAAACAATAAAACTAAAGATGACCTAAAGCCCACATGTATTCTGTAAAGCTCAAGCGGATCCGTACTGATGGTGACAAGTGGATTAATGCTACTGCA